CGAAAATTGATCCAATCAGTGACGGCAATCCGTTTCGACTTGGGTGGAATTTTCTTCATTCTCTTTTTATCTTCGCTGACAAGAGCGTCTTATGTACAGTTTCTTCGCTCGTTGAAGCCGGGGCGCGATTCGAGCCCATTGTTTCACTGTCTTCCGAGGTGCCAAGTATGTACCTACAACGGAACCAATGGCCCCATTGATCAAAAGAGGAAGTCGAGGGCCCTGCATCCCGCTAGACGGAACCATCCATCCGCCTGCAGCAGCAGCATCCGGGGGAGCTGCCACCTACAGCACTATCCACTCCACTATAACCAGCCCACTGACCACTCAGACTTGTCCAACTCGCTCGCTTCTCGCTTCGTCTCGTCAAAGTACTTCAACCCCCCTGGTCAAGTCAAGTCAAGTCAAGTCCTCCTCAAGGGTCTTTTCCCTCCTTCCCCCCTGTCACCATCACTTCGGTACCTAGGTACGAGTATCTCTGCTGCGGGTGGACTGGCCTCTGACTGCCCGACTGAGATGGTCCGACAAAAGTACACACCTCATACAAAGAGTCCTTCGTTCCCGCCGGCTTCGCTTCACCTCTTTTTCTCTCCCCGCTTCCATCTCATTGCCCTCCTCACGTTGGTTTGACTGCTTTCGCTTTTTTTTGTGCGTGTGTTTGTGTCTCCGTCTCCTCTTGAGCTCGTCACTCGCTCTCGGATCGTCTTCACCTGCTCTCCCTCATCATTCATCAGAAACACACAAAACCACTCACAATGAAGGCCTCCGTCCTCTCCCTCCTCCTCGCTGGCCTCGTCGCCGCCCAGGACTTCACCGGCCAGCCCGAATGCGCTGTAAGTCGAATCATCCCTCCCGCAAGCTTCATCGAAACCCTCCCAGACCACTGACAAACAACAAACATATAGATCCCCTGCCTCCAGGACGCCATCCCCAAGGCCGGCTGCGCCCTCACAGACACTGCCTGCGCCTGCAAGCCCGACGTCCAGGCTAAGCTCCTCGGCCTCGTGGGACCGTGCCTCCTCAGCAAGTGCAGCCCCGGCGACCTCGCAAAGGCCCAAGCCGCCGCCGCCGACGCCTGCAAGAAGAACGCCGGCGGCTCGACCGAGACGTCTTCTGACGCCGCCACCTCGGCCACGGAGTCTTCATCCGAGACGACCACTGCCGCTGCCACAGACTCGACCACCGAGGCTGCTACTACCACCACTGACGCCGGCACCACCACCAGCGAGGCCACCACGGCTCCGGCTTCCACCACAGCTGCCGAGACGACTGCCGCTGAGACCACCACCAGCGCCGCCTCCGAGACATCGACTGGTGCTTCGACCGGCCCGACCATTCAGCCCCCGGCTCCCTCTGGTGTCTCCAACAGCACCGTCTCCGGCACTCGCTCCGTCATCACACGCACCTCTACCGCCTTTGTTGGTGGCGACGGCGGCTCCAGGACCTCTGGCATCCCTGCCTCCACCACCCTTGCCGGCAGCGATGCGACCGCTCCCGTGGCTGGCGTCCTCGGTGCCGTCCTGGCTGCTCTGATGGCCCTGTAACTGCAATCCAGCGCTTCCAAAATCCATTTGATGATAGTTGTCAAGGCGTTGGGCTAGTATGTAATCATGATGTGACGAGTATATAATATGAAGGGGCGTGGACATTCAAAACGGACTTTTTTGGGGACCACGATTGACTCTATCTGGTCAGGGAGTTTATATTTCTTGTTTCGCTTTGTAATGCAGATATGGACTCACGGCGTGTTTATACCACAAGACAGGAATTGAAAGCTGATATGTTCAGGCAGTCTCTTACCCCCCCTCATTCTATCATTTGTTCTCCCGATGTGAAGTCTGTTGTCCGCGGCAGGTCAATGTCCACCACCCAGGGCATTTGTGATGGGCGATAGCGTACGCTCATGATCGAAGCATTGACGAAGAGCGTTTGCTCGCCATGCCTGACCATGTTCTCTCCTTCCGTCACATCGAGGTAGCAGCCTCGGTCTTTGCTCATCTCCACGAGGTTCTGAGTCTCTCTGCCAGCCACCGAAGCGTTTGTGGGAACGCTTACAGGGGGCGGCGTCAGGGTGTAGACGATACGCGACTTGTCCCAGTCGACAACGGTAGCAGGCGAGATGGCTGACCGTGTGCTGTCGACAATCATCTCGTCCACGGAGCCCTCCACACCATCTTCATCAGGCACATCGACATTGTGCTTCCACCGCAACAGTTGAGCGCCCCAAGCTTCGTGAATGTGGCCAAAGCAATGGATTCTAGGCCTCGCACGGTATATCGACCGAAAGAGGTCGGGGCAGCCGGCGTTCTCGTTGCTCCACGTGCTATCGAGAACGCCCCAGGGCGGGCCGTGCGTCATGGCGACGTCGACGCCTTCCGGGATGTCGAAGCTGTGCGTTCCCATGCCATCGTACTGAAACGCCCACGTGCCGTACCGGGGGGCCCGGGGGCTGGCGAAGAGGCGCAGCGTCGAGCCGTTGGCGAGGTCGAACGTGTAGGTCCCTTCGGTGAGATACCGGACGCCGTCCTGTTCGGCTTCCTTGGCGATTCGCAGTGCGTCTTTGTGGGCGGCCTGGAGGTCGCTGTAGGGGTCGTAGTAAGTCCTTTCGCCGAGCCTTTCGTCGAGGGCCAAGTCGTGGTTCCCGGCAATGACGAGCTTGAGCGGCGCGCTCAGACCGCGCAGCATGGAGAATGTCCTTGTGAGCTCCTCCGGCCGGCCACGCTTGGTGAGGTCGCCGCAGTGAAGCACCACGTCTGCTTCGGGGAGGGGGAGCCGGAAGCCCGAGGGGGACTGGGCGAGGGCTCTGGGGTTTGCGAGGCCGTCTTCGGGGGTGATGGCGAGGTCTTCTGCTGGGGGGACGGAGCTGTGCGTGTCTGAGATGATGAGGAGGCGGGTTTTTATGGTTGACGGGGAGGATGGGGGTGGGGATAGGGGCGGGATGGGCATGGTGGGAGGGCAGGATGTTGTCTATGATTGTGGTGGTTGATGATGATGGTGGTGATGATGGTGATGATTCAAGACGATGAAACTAATGAGAGCACTGGAAACTTGGGAGATGAAGATGATGGTTTGACGGTATATTGATGCCTGCTGCCTGGTGTATGAGTGTGCCTAGTAGACGCAGATGCTTTGTTGGACGGAGCCCGTGTGACCCCAGGGCCAGCTGGGAAGCATGAAAGTACCGAAACGGCGTGGAACCGGCGCAGAATCAGTTCAATTGATTTCCTCTATCAGCAACACGAAGCAAGTTGAAAGCCACGAGAAGAATTGGAGAAGAGTGCTGTTGCGATGCGTTGAAGCTGGAGAGATGAAGTCAAATGCTGATGCGTCAAGTGTGGGGAGGTGGACTCGGTGGAGCCTCAGTACTTTGGGCTGGGGTACTTCGATCTTTGTACTCGGATCGGCTGCCAAGGTTCATTTCAGATTGCTTCACTCTTCAACCTCTGCTTTGCACTCGTCGCAAATCACAACCCTGAACTCAATTACCAATCAGTGCGCATCGTCATCGCCGCCACCCTCAACTTCGTTCTCTCCTTCCACCCCCAAACGAAAAATGGCCTCGGAAGCGCCCCAGGACGTCTCCATGACCTCCACGCCCGCCGTTCCCGCCGCAGACGAAGAGCCCAAGTACGGCGGCTACTCGCGCTTCGAGATTGAGCTCGAGGTAATAATCTCCTGATTCAATGAAGGTCCTCTCCCTCCCACAGTCTCCTGCTAACCCCGGCATTGCAAATCTGCAGTTCGTCCAATCGCTC